AAGAGACTGTGATTCGTTGCTGGGGGCCGGGCGCACGGTCCTCGTGGCCGTACTGGGCTCCCGTGTGGAGCGGACTAAGGCCCAGCCACCACGTTGTGTACATTTGTACGTGTGGTTCCCCACATAGATAGACAGGAATACTGCTGCTGTGTATGTTTAAGGATTGTGGGCCGTCTCCGTTGATGAACCGTGGCTCGTATTCACATACATCCCGGTCTTATTTCTTTGCGTTTACACTGGATATTGGGAGTGTTGTTGGAACTGTGACTGGTACTGCACATACCCCCCATGATCTTTCTGCAGGCGGAGGTATCCTGTGGCTATCCCTATGGAGGCCGCGTTGACGGGTTACTCAGGAACCGGATACCGTTAATCATGTCGGCATCGAAATGTCAGTAAAGACTTGGTAAATAGGCTAACCTGGAATTTCAGAGATCAGTATCGGTATGGCTGAACACTTATCTCGCGTTAAGGGCGCGCGGTTTACTTATAGCATTATTATACTTTACTATTTTACATGAGGAAAATGATAAATGTAGACATATAATTGATGAGGATAATGTCAAGTATAAGTGAAAGTCTGTATAAGTGCTTGCGTGTAGGCTAATAGTAATCTGTTGTTCAATAAGCGCTAGATGAAGACAGGTGAATACAGACTGTCTTCTTTCTCTTACTTATTATTCTGCGATTGGTCTCTCCGTCATGCCCAACCCCTGTTTGAGCAATTGCAAGCGACTTCAAAATATTTCTAACCTGCACACGACTGGTTGAGGTCGCATAGTTACGAAACGTCTAAGTGGCGCACCGGCGTACTGCTGATGCTGTCCTCTTCATTTTATTTCGATCATTGAGGAGGTATGTTCAGATAGGCAACCGTTACTCCTCAGCCTACTATTCATAAGCATCAAGGTACTAAGCTTATTCTTGCCGTATTCAGACTTCCTACAGGTGCCGTTCTGCTGTAGCTCATTTGCCCTCATGAAAAACGAGAGAATAAATGCCTAGCTAGCGTCCGGCATTATCGAGGATGCGTCGGCCACATATTTACTCTGCTCACTGTGTTGGAACGGTAACAAGAACACAGCCGACTCAATGGTGATTCCCTTGACTCGGAATGCACTTCTAACTCGGTTGACATCGAAACTCTTATTTATTCTTAAGTTCACCTTGACTCCCCTTGCCGAGTCAGTGTTCAAGAGAATTTGGGTTCACCAGAGTTGTCCCATGTCAACTCTTCTCTTCAATTTGTGGTCAAAATGTTCATGGGTGACCACCATCTCAACCTCTTTTATGGGGAAAGTTTGTCAAGTGACCAGCTGACAAATTGAAAATTTTGGCTTGTGTCGGCTTCATGCCCTATACATTCGCTCCTGGATAAATTGACCTAGGTGCTGCGGTCTTTGGCGTATGTTTCGCAGTAGGTGCTGTTGTAGCGCAGGTGCCTTATGCCACTAGTTTTGCCTACCCACCGAACAGCTTCTGGAAGTGGTCGATTGTTCCACTCGTACTGGGAATTGTGTCAGCTCTGGCAGTTACGTAACTGAGCAGACTACTTCCGCATGAGTAAAATTCGAGTGGATTTCCACACTTCAGACCATCTGTGGAAACGGCTGGATATCATCCTGTTAGTCAAGAGTAGGGCGTACAACGCTGCGATAATACCGGTGATCGTACTGATAAGAGGCAACTCTATCTCGCGCTGGAACCATTAAGACGTTGGTCGTCTCTACTTGCGAAGTACCCTCCGCAGGTTGACCTCATTACATCCTAGCTTATCGCCGACTGCGGATTGACCTCATCATGATGCACCGGATATTACATCTAGGAGATTACCCCATGTTGAGGCCGCTGCTTCATCTGTGCACACAAAGTAGCACAGAAGGACACCGGTACAAGCTTGTGGTACCGGATTTGAAGCGGGTCACTCACTAACTCTGTTTCGAACGCAGAGTGGTGAATGTATGCAAGAACTTGTCATGCTAGTTGGATAAACGCTCACTGGATGTAATTGAAGCTCACTGGTCTCATATTCACCAGTCCTTACTAGCAGCACGCAAATCCTCATGTGGTATGTCTAATCGCCAACATGGACATTGGGTCTCTTCACAATCTAGGGAACTTATAGATGCTCGCCGGCATATTCCGGCTGGAAGCGAACACAATGAAACTGGCAAAGAGCTCCGGGCAAGATTTCATGCTAGCCTGAAGAGAGACCGCGAATCCTGGTGGTCTCATGGTGCATCAGAGATGGAGAGGGCCGTTGCCCTTGGTAACCATCGTAAGTTATTCCGTCTGATACGGGAAACGGGCAACAGGAGACCTGGTGTTAGTGAAGCAATTTGTGATGAGAGTGGACAGCCTGTCCACAATTTGTCAAAACGCTTGGAGCGTTGGGCTGAACACTTTGAAAGGCAATTTAATCGGTCGGAATTGTTAGATTTCTCGCCGGCCACTGATCGCCCCGCTCCGTGGGCTGTCCCTTTGGATCCACCCTCTCGCTCAGAAGTCGATTGTGAGATCGGACTGTTGAAGTTAAATAAAGCCGCGGGACCTGCTGATCTTCCTCCAGCCCTCTTCAAATTCCGGGGACCTGCTCTTGTGGATGATTTACACGAGTTACTAGTCAAACTGTGGGAGCAGGAAACTGTCCCAACCGATTGGAGCCGCTCCCTCATAGTCCCAATTTCAAGGGAGGCTCACGATCGGAATGCGGCAGCCATAGAGGAATCAGTCTGATCTCCATCGCCTCCAAATTGCTTGCCTCTGTCATCCTTCACAGACTGACTGGCACGCGTGAAAGCCAGATTCGTGAAGAGCAAGCTGGATTTCGTCAAGGTCGTGGCTGCATTGACCACATCTTCACCTTGCGTCAGTTGTTGGAGCACCGTCACACATATTGGCGGCCCAGTGTAGTCGTGTTCCTCGATATCAAAGGTGCATTCGATTCGATGGATAGACATGCACTTTGGGACTGTCTACTCAGGAAAGCTGTACCTGAGAAATATGTGAATATTATCCGAGCATTATATGCGCGTAGCTCGGGCAGAGTGAGGGCTTACGGCAAGTTGTCGTCGCCCTTTACTATCTGCAGCGGCGTGAGACAAGGATGCCCGCTGTCACCTTTCCTCTTTAACTTCGCTGTTGACGAAGTCATGGAAATCGCGTTCACAGGACACGACTTAGAAGGTGTGGATCTGCTTCCAGGAGAACGACTTCTTGACTTAGAGTATGCTGATGATATTGCCCTAATCTGTGACAGCTCCCAGACGTGCCAAGCGGCACTGGACAGGTAAGCACTGGCTGTTAGTCACTTCGGACTTTGCTTCGCACCCTCAAAGTGCAAAGCGTTCCTCCAAGATTGGTCTGGACCGCCTCCTTCGTTGACCGTTGGTGGGGATCAGCTAGAAGTCGTCTAAAAATTCAACTACCATGGGATTGAAGATGAGTTCACGAACCGTATAGCAAAAGCTCGGGGCGCTTTTGCTAACCTTCTCCACCTATGGCGCCGGCGCGACATCACTCCTACTTTGAAGAGTAGAGTGTACAATGCAGCGGTACGTTCGACCCTACTGTACGGTTGTGAAACCTGGCCTCTTAAAGCAACGGACCTGAAGAGGCTAGTTACGTTCGACCACCGGTGCCTTCGCAGTTTGGCTCACATCTGGTGGGAACACCGCGTGAGCAACGAGCGTGTTCGACGCCTTGTTTACGGCACAGGAAATGGAACTGAACCGCTCAGCACCGTTATTTCACGCATCAGGCTCCGATGACTGGGCCACGTGTTACGCCTGCCAGCCCATCGACTCACGCGACGTGCGTTGTTTGCGCGCCGGGGGTGTGGATGGAAGAAGAGGAGGGGTGGCCAAGCGATGACTTAGTCGAGAGGAATGAAAGCCATCACTTCTGAGCTGGCCTTGGTTGGAGCGTCTCGGCTCCCTGGTTGGGGTCCGAAAGACGATGAACACGTTTGGTTGGACACACTTGCTGACTTGGCAAGGAGTCGACCTCAGTGGCGTTCGTGCTGTGAGTTTCTTTGTCCCATGCCATCCCTCTTAGCCTCCCCTTCCAACCACGATCTCATTATTTAGCCTTATATAATTTTGCATAGCAATTTTTTTAATGCACAGTAGCCGGCTGGTAGCTTACCGGAACGATGCCCATCCGTTACCGGTATCTCAGTCGGCTTGCACCAGTTGCATTTTTTTCTCCTTTTTTCTATTTATTGCGGCACAGTAGCTGAGGTGTTCCCCACCTCTAGCTAACGTGTATGATGATGATGATTGACCGGTAACTTAGGGAGAAGACTTATGGTGAAGCGACAATTCAAATATTAGGAGTGCGATTCTGTACACAGAGCTCATATTTCTGGGCGATACCCATAGGTGTTGCATAAACGAAATGTCTGCGGTTATGCGTAAGTATTAATGTGAATTTCGAATTCACGAAAGTGAACATTTCTACTAACAGTTAAGGAGCAGTGTGCTTATTCTAAGAAGTTAATCAAAAGACTATGGATGCTTGTTCGGTTGCAGCCGGGCGGTTAATGTGGCCATTAACTGATTTCATATTTATTTAACTGGTTTTGCCAACTTTTTCTTTTTAAATTGTATACTTACTATTTTAGCATCTTTAGCAACTTTGTTTTACATCTTCTCGTCATACCCAAAAGGCGTGCCTCACTTTGCCGAGAATAAAATATTTATTTAGATAAAACGACGGCGCACAACGAAGTAGAAGCTTTAAAATCGTTATACATTTATATAGCTTCTCGACAAGCCTGTTGCTGAGGCACATTGACATAACATTTCGGACACATTCCGAGACATTGTTACCACATATCTGTGCGATAAATTACGAGTAACCGAAACCGCTCTGCCATCGGCGCATTTGCATGTTGAATCAAAGCTGTTCGTATTGGATAGGACCATGTTATGTGCACGTGATATGTCTCTTTAGATGTGCAGAATGCGCTTTATCTTCCACTCTCTATTTCTAAACAGTGAATTGTTGAAAGCCTTCACGATCCCCGAACTTCTCCGATGGGATGAATTTTGTGCTCGCTACGAAACGATTCTCCGGACTGAGACTGATGTTTTCTCCAATGAGCAGTCACCAGAGAAAGCGGAAAAACGATGGGAAGACCTGCATTCTCGTTTAATAGAACGTAATATCAGAGTGATCGCGGGTTACTATACGAAGCTCCGGCTGAAACGCATGGCCGAATTGCTGGATTTAAATATCGAGGTACGTGATCCTTTGAACTCACTGTGTTACGGACATACATTAACGGTCTGTTCACAATCACCAGCGTACCCCAGCCCTTTTGTTGCTTATTCTCTTACCTTGTGTCCATGTGCTATGTTTGCTCGATTACCGGTGCATTGCACCAATAGTCAGGTCTGTCAGCTTAGATCGGCTGCCTGAAACGTTACACATTGTTATTTGGAACGCCAGAAAACTACCGGCACTCATATCCGATGATGCGCGGTTTTACGTTTTTGTGTGTGTAAACCTAGATATCCCATTTGTTTCATCAGCTTTTTGGATACATAGTCGAGCGTGTACTCCAATGAGCGCATTGAGGCGTCATGTGAATTTCTCGCATTGTCCGGCAAGATGCCTTTATTAACAGATGGTCATACCGGTCTCTCGCACAGTCGATAAACATGGTGGTGGTGGTGGTATTGGTGGTGGTGGAGATTACTTCGCATATCAGCAAGGCCCCTGTGGCTTTCCAAAGGCTCAACCATCTATGGAGATGGCGGGATATCAGCTTGTCAGTGAAATGTAGGGTGTATAACGCTGCGATGAGGCCAGTGTTACTGCTTGAATCAGTGACAAGACCAGTTCATGGCGAAGACATTATACGCTTGGCCGTGTTTGACTACCGATGCTTGCGAAGTATTGCTCATGTTTGTTGGAAACACCGGGTGAGCAGTGCTGAGGTCCGCCAGTTGGTTTTTAGCAAGAAGCCTTCTGGCGCCTCTCTCGAGTGTTTGACGAATCTGTCGCATGCTTTGACTAAGCCATGTCCTCTGTATGCCCGTTGATCGGCTTCCTCGGCATGCATTATACACCGTGGCTGCACCAAGTCGGGCGAAACCGCAAGGTGGCCAGTCCATGACATGGCATAGAAGCTTAAAGAAATTGACTGAGACTTGGTCAGGCTGGTGCGTGTATTCTTCCTATGCGGTGACCTCGTGACTGTCCACACCAATGGTTGGAGACCTTGTCAGACATGGCACAGTCACGAAGTAAGTGGCGTTCCTGCATTCGGCTTCTTTCATCTGGTTGTTACTTTTCGTTCCATTATGATTTTCCTAACGCATCTCCTTCTTGCTTCCATTTTCTCTACCTTCACTTCGGTGTTATTTATTGTTATTCTTCCATCGCAATGAGGCTGGACCTTACCGTGGTGCGATGGTTCGCGTGCCTCAGAAATCTATTGGGCTATGCTGGTTGGTGCTTTTTCACCTTCAGAACCGCTCTTTCCAGATTGGTCAATGCTTAGAGGCCAAACAAATTCAGCCTCCTGGTCCTCCAAGTTGGCATTTGAAGTGAGGGTGGCTCCTCGTTCCTTAAAACGGACTCTTTGTAGCCCACTGCCGAAACCGCTGCCTTGCAGTCAGGTTTTTGAACCCAAGTCTTTGGCTGAGAACACTAATCGTTCTCCTGTCTAGGCTTGGACAACTTGACAGTACCCTGCCCACGCAATACTACGAAGCTTTCCTTAGGCAATTTAATGCTCTCTCCGTTGCAGAGGATAATAAACGGCACCCTATCTGCTGCATCGATCAGAGTGGATAGGAGTTTGGAGGTTACTGCTCAAACCGTACTATCTTCTTATTTCCCCTCTTACGCTTTTTCTCCCTTGTCGTCCCGTTACAACTTCACTTTTATCCCTCGCGTTTTCAACCCCCTCCGAAATCCCTGACTTCCCCACCTTACTTTGATAAGCGTTTAGCTTCTGGTTTTAAATCACATACAAACGCGTGGCGTGACTATTGCTCTTTCGACAAGCCCATGTCCAAGCAAGCGGTCAAACCCAGTTCATCAGCTTTCATTTGGAGCCCTCGAACGTCCCTCAGCTTGGCATACCTCAATGTACGCACATTGTTACAGATCGACCAACAGACAGCACCTGCCCGAACATTAGAGACTCTGTCAATTGGTATCTGTTGCTTATCGGAAACCCTGCTGCAAGACTCGAGCTCTGTGTTCCCTTTGCGATCCATTTCAGGTGACACCAACAGTTCTTTCTCTTTGCGTCTATCCGGAGAAAATACGGCTTCGAGTACCGGCCAAGCGAGTGTTGGTATTGCCCTGAGTCCCCGGGCTGAAGCTGTTCTGGCTGATTGGATCCCAATCAATAGGCGGGTGTGTGCGGTCCGATTGGCTGGTTCGCTTAAAGCTTCGACCTCGCGCGGGACTAATAGGTGGATGTTTACCATCACTGCCTACACGCCCACAAATTGTAGCGATCATTTGATAAAAGACGACTTCTACCGACAACTGAACGAGCTCTGTGGCGAACCAGAGAAGAAACACGGACACCAGTGCTGGCTGGGGATCTGAACGCTCAAGTTGGAAAATTGTCCACTGATGAACTGCATCTGGGCGGCCTACTCAGTGTAAGCTTCTGTAATGATAACGGTGAGCGGTTACTCCATTTGTGTGAAGATGTCCGCTTACTCCTTGCGAGCACTAACTTCCGACAGCACCCGCCGGTGGGTGACATGGTGCCCACCAGCCTTGGACGCAAATCGGTCACATTGCAACCAGTTTCCGCTGGAGTGGATGCGTCCAGAACTGTCGCTCAATTTGGAGCACATGTGTGGATACCGACCATGCACTTGTATGTGCGTTTTGGCGGACGCCCACGACGACCCTGTGAGCGTATTGACACCAGCCAACTGGCGAATCCAGCTGTTCTGAATTCGTATCGAGGTATGCTGACTTGCGGGTTGTCTAAGTGCACAGTGAATACAATTGAATATCACTGGGTTCATGCTCACCAAACCTTACTAGCAGCAAGTAACTCATCATGTGGTAAGTCTAATAGCCAACATGGACATTGGGTCTCTTCGCAGTCTCTGGAACTTATAGATGCTCGCCGGTGCATTCCGGCTGGAAGCAACACAACGAGACTCGCAAAGACATCAGGACAAAATTCCGTGTTAGGCTGGAGAGAGACCACGAATCTTGGTGGTCTCATCGAGCATCAGAGATGAAAGTGGCCGCTGTTCTTGGTAACCATCAGAAGTTATTTCGTATGATACGGGAAACGAGCAGCAGGAGACCTGGTGTTAGTGAAACTATACGTGACGACAGTGGACACCCTATCCAAAACTTGTCAAAATGCTTGGAGCGTTGGGCTGATCATTTTGAAAGACAATTTAGCCTCTCGGAACTGACAGATTTCTCGCCGGCGACTGATCGCCTTGCTTCGTGGGTTGTCCCGTTGGATCCGCCTCTCGCTCAGAAGTCGAACGTGAGATCGGACTGTTGAAGTTGAATAAAGCCGCGGGACCAGATAACGTTCCTCCAGCCCTCTTCAAATTCGGGGCACTTTCTTGTTGATTATTTACACGAATTACTAGTGAAACTGTGGAGGCAGGAAACTGTCCCGACAGACTAGAGCCACTCCGTTATAGACCCAATATTCAAGGAAGACTCACGATCTCAATGTGGCAGTCATAGAGGAATCAGTCTAATTTCCATCGCCTCCAAATTACTTTCCTCGATCATTCTTCACAGACTGGCACTCGTGAAAGTCAACTTCGTAGAGTGCAAGCCGCTTTTCGTCGACGTCGAGGCTGCATCTTCTGTGTCAGTTGTTAAAGCACCGTCACATATATTGGCGGCCCACCATAGTCGTGTTTTCCGTAATAAAGGTGCTTTCTATTCGGTTGATCGATGTCCCCTTTTGGACTGTCTACTCATGAAAGGTGTGCCCGAGAAATATGTAAATATTATCCGGGTGTTATACGCGCTATCTCATTTTTTAACATAATACAAATTTCGCATAATAATCTTTTTTACTGCATAGTAGCCGGCTGGTAGCTTTCCGGGATGATGCCCATGCATTACTGGTTGCTCAGCTGGCATGCACCTGTGGTATGTTTATTTTCCTTTTTTTCTTATGTATTGCGGCACAGTAGCTGAGGTGTTTTCCACCTCTAACTAAGGTGTATAATGTTACTGACGATTGTCATTCTTACGGCGTGAGCTGTGGCAACTGGATCCACCGCATTTGGGTACTCAGATCAACTGAACTGAACTGAACAACACATTTTGCATTACCTTATGTACAAACATAGCAATGGTGTACGTGCATATGTATGTCTCTGCTATTCGGTCCATATGCGGTAAAACCCGGTACATAACTGCGACCTAGGCTTGTGCCGTGTGCGTTTGAACTTTGTTTTTCCTGTGCACCGTACACAGAATGTCTTCTTTAGCCGTTAACACCTTATTTGAAGTATTCGTCAACTGTTTTCTCCATTTCGTGCCCCCTTTTTTAAGAAACGAAGCATAGGCACTGCCCACTTATGTTAATAACTGGAATAGTGATGTTTATAATTATGAACAATTTGTATATTCTCGTTTTCAGCACTCTAATGCAACGACCACGAATGATCGAAAAATGTACAACCGTGATACAAAACGATTTTCAATTTCGAGAGAGCATATATGTTGCTTGTTACATCACGTTATGTGATGCTGCAAAAGATGTCTTTACAAGGATTCTTAGGCTGCATGAGAATAGGAAACTCTAAAACGTTGCTTCTGGAGAGTAGGAAGTAGGTTTAGCACAAGTATAAGGTACAATTTTTTTAAAACACGTGACAGTTGCTTCGCTCAAGACCACTCAGGAATGGATACTACTTGTGGAAGTCACATGATACTGGAGCAAAAGGAGCGCCTAGCAAAGGGAACTGTAAGAGTAAACTGCAATAAGAGTAATAGGAACATCTACGATGCAGACGGAGAATGTAGAGGTGTGTTCAGTTGGCTTCTTCCCTCAGTACACTCCTATTGGTGATAACCTTGGGGTTGGCCTAGCCTTGTGAGAGGAAGAAAGAAGATAAAGTCGATGTGTGTAGAGTCTTTTCCACTTCAATTTCACTCTGTTGTAGACTTTTCTGGAACATATAAATTCTAGGCCTTGTTTATCTATTTGGCTATTTGGTAAGTGGCATCCCAATAGGTGGATCACCTTTTTCACGTTCAATCATATACTGCTCATTTTGTGAAATTCGTGCTTTGAATTGCAAGAAGGTATTTCGGATGGTAAATTGTTCCGAATTCTGGCGTATCTGTTGAGGAAGAAGTTAGCCGATCTGGTGGTTTTAGACTTACATCTCACTAGAGAATTTTTCTTATTTCATGCGTTGTATACTGATGACTGTGTTACTGCTATGTTAAGGTCGGAAACATGCATTTTCTGATGCAGGGCGTTAAAAAATATGATTAGGCTGTGCTTCATGCGCCTTAGTCATGGGAGACCAATTTTGAGTTCCTCGTATCGTTCGAAATATTCGATTTTCGACGAGATATTTAATAGGCGAATTTAAATCAACTTCAGCGAGGAACTTGGGTATTTGAAGTCGAGCCTTGTTTCCTGCATTTCGGAGGTGTGCACGATAGTGGAGGATGGGTCGGATACAGAAACGAAAACTAGTCGCTCAGGTTTTTCAGGTGACAGTTGTACTGTTCACTGAACTTGGACTGCTGCTCGCTGCGCAACAATGCACTGATGATGTCGCCTCGATTGGTGATGAAGTATCTGCAACAAAGTTGTCAATCTCAGCGAACACCTCAATCACCAGAGGATGGCTCGCATTACCTGCTTACCACAACGAGAACCGCCGTCCTAGTCTTAATCGCTCCTTTGAAAGAGGATAGTCCGACATTCTATCCAACGCCCCTCACTGGGCAAATGGAGTGCGCGCTGTTAGCAGTTCCGGCCATCCAGTTGAGAACTCAGCCCACTACAAACTGCATCTGAAAAGTTCGATGCATGGTCCGGTATGGAAACCGCGCTGCATAGGATATGGGGACCACGCATATGCATTGCGAGACATGTTAACAAGCCTCCCTATCGTGCAAACCACCGGAGCGAGGTCGCCATACATTTCGCGACCGAGCTAACGAAGTCAGTGTGAGAACATCCCATTACAAAATGGAGCAACAGGTTAACGTGAAGTTTCGCTTCAAATGTGGTAAAACAGCGACTGAGACTTGTGAAATGTTAGTGCAAGTGTACCGTGTTGAAGCGATGAGTAAAAAGTGTGTGCTCGAGTGATTTAGACGCCATGGGGACGGAAAGGAAAGTGCCGAGTGGACGGTAGAATTTCCCGCACGACAACGCCCGTCCGCACACTGCCATTCACGTGATCAAATTCCTCGCTCAACATAAGGTGACGGTCTCTCAACATTCTTTGTTCTCCAGATTTGACGCCGGCAGACTTCTTTTTGTTTCCCAGCCTTGAATTATCCTTGAAAGGTCTACACCGCACACACGTTGCGGATATCCAACAACATGTGACAACAGTGCTTCGAGAGATTCCACGAGAAACGTTTGCTGATAGTTTCCAACAGCCTTGCAACCGATATCAGAAATGTGTCCTAGTTAATGATTACTTTAAAGGCCAGTAAAGGCATTTTGTTTGTAACTCTTGTTTCCTTTATTTTCTGAGATAATTCACCGAACTTGTACTTGCGGTCGTCAATTATGATATTAATGGAAACATGTTGATCCAGTGCCGTCGACCCGTAGTCTTATGGATCACAAGCCTGCCTTGTGATCTGAGGGCGCGAGTTTGAGCCTGCGAAGGAACCGGGCAGTCCTTAGCCTGCGTGCGAATGGTGATGGTTGTGTGGCAGCAAAGCGTCGACACTGCGTACCGGCGTACTGCTGATGCCTATTTCTTTCTTTGTTGATCCATTTGACATACTCACTTTTGTTACATTTCAGCAAACGGAGAAGTATTTATCGGATCTGGTCGTGAGCAAAGTGGTTACTGCCAAAATCGACCGCTTAGAGGGAATAGTTCACTTCACTGAGTCAAGAACGCCAACAGAGATCCTGAACGACTGGTCACGTAGCACCAAAAACCTAATGATTTTGATCAATCAAGCAACTCATTTGATTAACAAGGAACGAGTTCTACATGCCATGTAATGTTTTATAATAACCCATCATTTAGCAATGACACGATATTTTTCTTCCACATGAACACCGAAATGCTCTCCTTTTTCCTGATTTTTGTTGGATGGTTCCCCCACTACTGTATTACCTTTACTTTGGTTACATAGTTCAGGTACTTCACGTAAACCGGAGTCCGAGTTTAGTAGTAGCGGCAAGATGATTACGAACTGTTTGTTAATGTCCATTTCATTATGCTCTTGACTACCCAATTAGCTTTTTAAAACTGAGTGTATTAGGTGATGCTGGGTAAAGAGTCCGTAGCTTCGATATTTCAACACAGCCTTATCGACCCCTCCTATTTCGAAAGTGTCGGATCAGAGGACTTCGGAGAAATATCCTGCGTAAGACGCCGTCGCATGTATTTACTAGTGAAATATGAGTCACAATTCTTTAAACATCTGATTTCACGATACACACAACCGGTAATGCTAATTCTTGAGGCTACGATTCGTGCCGTTGCCTGCGCTGAAGAACGAGATGATTTATAGATTATCTCATTGCTCAGCTGTTATTATCCATATGCCTCAACACGATGCAGTCAGTTGGTGATGCATTGTGCTGACTCAATATGATTGCACTTCCATTTTAGCACTGAGTTCTGTCTGACGCTTGCAAACGCACCCTCCTCTCCAATACTGATTTCTGTGCTTCGAAGCGGCATCAGTCATAACACCAGTGTCTTTTAAATTTAGCTAGCGGCTATAAGGCGACATACCTTCTGTTGTCATTTCTTGGCTATGGATTCACCATCCAGCCCATCTTATTTATTAAACGGATTAACGTACAAACAAGATAGTTGCGAAGAAATTTCGATAAGTCTCTTCCGGCATGAGTCAAGATGACATTGGAATAATAAGCTATTTCTAGCTTAGCGTAATCAAGCCCGGTCGGGTCTGTGGAGTGCCGTAATCAGTGGCAAAATTTGAACATCGCCATAGATCAATTAGCCTAAAGTCAGCTGACTGGTCCATGGCCATGGCAAAACCTTCTGTTTGCATAGCTCTGGCTTCAGCCTTCTGATTGCGATGGCTTCCGCAGTTGCCAGCAAGTGCTTTCTGAGTCCCTTATGGACCCGTTTAGATACAATATAAAGCGTCTTGAAAGCGTCCTCTCTTTGAACACGATGTCCACTGCTCTCAACGTGTTCTAAAATTGTGTTTTGGACCGTCTTGACAGTATTATGCCGTCGAGAGGCGTGGACCAGAAGAAGGAGAATGGTGCGACGTATTCACAAGCATCCTGGTCCCAGTGCATCCTCATTACTTCAGCAGAATATACAATAACGATGTAAAAGTTTCATGTGACGGTGGTCTTTCAGCGATGCGTCGTAAACTACGTTTACTTACAATAAAACGTTATCTGCCCAAATTTAGTGTAAAACATCGTCTGCCAAATGCGTACGCAAGCCTCTCTAAGGCTGCGTGGTGATCGCCTAGAAAATTACATCCTATGGAACTGTCACGGCTGACTGTGACTTTGACTTTTTGTAACGAAAGACTCGCTGAGCAGTGCGTATGATAGCAGAATGGATGTTGACAGTTGATTATTCGTTTCAAACAGACTCTCCGTGTTACTTGCATGCTGCCAATTCTTATTCCCTTTGCATCGGCCACATTGTCAATTTATTAGACTTTTTTGTCTAGTTCATCATGATGAATGCGTTTCCACACTGAGGTCCGCCAGTTGGTTTTTGGAAAGAGATCCTCCTTTGCCTCACTCGAGTGTTTGCTAAAGCTCAATCGTTTTCGTTAGCTAAGTCGTGTCCTCCATATGCCGGTTGACTGCCTTCTCGGCGTGCACCAAGTTTTACGAAACCGTGAGTTGGCCAGCCAGTGATACGCCGTGAAGGCATGAAAATATTTACTGGGGGACTTTGACAAACTGTTGCGTGCCGTCCTCGTGATGGTCCACACCAGTAGTTGGGAATAGTGTGAAACATGGCGCAGTCGCGCGATCACTTGCACTCCCGGTTTCTTGCATCTAGCTGTTAATTATCTATTCCGCTTTCGTGCATTTCTGCCTTGAATCCTTTTTCTTTGTGTTCTATTCGCATCTAATCTCCTTTTCTTGCTGCCGTTATTTTTTGTTAGTCTGGCGACGTGAGTCGTGGAAACTGGATCCAGCGCAGCCCAGTACCCGTATTTTAAATGTTCAACTGAGCATGACGTCTATATGTGATAGAGCTCCCACTGTACTGATAAATCAGCGATATTGGATGAAATCAGGGCAGTATATATTTAGGTCTGAGGCTGATGTTGCATTTATGATGCTTCTTCACCGCAACTGGGCTAAAGCAACTTGCACTTAAACTAGGTCTTTTCAAGCTGGATAAATTTCATTCCATTTTATTTAGTTTGTTTTGCCTACCAGAATAACCTATTAACCGCCACACTTTGCTTACGCTAATTGTGGTTATCTTCATTAACTTTAGTACGTTTGTAGCATTTTTGAGTAACTTCTGGACATTTGTACTTCTCGCGGATTCGTTGCTAACCAACTTTCATTATATGCTAATTTAGCGAAGAGTTATCTCGGCATAGCCGTATGCTTCAACAGATATATTTTATTCGAGAACGTTATTCAAGTGATTGGCTGTTGTTTGAAATCCCCGGTGTGGCTACGCTTGATGTAGATATTGTCAAGGTACCTGCCTCGTCCATACTGGCTCCAGGAGACAGTTGGTCGTTGCTGGTGGGGGCGGGGTGCGCGGTCCTTGGGGCCGTGCTAGGCTCGAAGAGTGGTTCCATGCAGTCAGTGTGGAGCGGACTACGGTCCAGCCACCGCCTTGTGTGCGCTTGATTCCTAAATACAGTGTGCTTGTGTTTGCCTGTGAAGGAGTGTGGGCCGGCTCCGTTGATGAAACGTGGCTCCCATCCACAAGCCTCCCGGTCTTATTTCTTCGGGTTTGCACTGGATATGTGGTTGGAGCTGTTGGTGGTGCAGCGCAAGCCACCCATGGTCCCTCGGTATGCGCAGGCGTCCTGTGGCTGGCCACAGTGACAGGCAAATCCGAAACCGGATGCCGCTAACCATATGTTTAGGTCTGTGATTAGATGGGAATATTGCGTCCAAAATAATAAACCCTCGTTTAAGCGGAGACGCAGTTTACAGTGCGACTCTCTTAATTACAAATCTGGTTAAAGTCCCCTGTAACGATACGGCCTCACATCAATAGCCTGGATTAAATCTCAACACACGTTAATATACCAGCTGATTAGAACACAGGCAGCCGTCTGCTGAAAGATACAATGCAGCAATTAACGTTTACCGCACAAAAAACGTTTCGTAGCAAAATCGTTCGGCGGAGAAATCACGAGTATCATTGACAGGAGCTGTTTTCGCTAGAGGATGATCCTCATCATTGAAGTTGCTGGCTAAGGGCGCAAAACGCCTCAGCTATTGAGTCCCAATGCAACCCAGCTGGACAGTCACGAAAAACAGCAGGGTGCCTTATTAGGTGGATTATTTTGAAGCATTTGTATGCGAATGGACCGAAGCTGAAGTGAACCTCGGTCAATTTGGTCCCATGGGCCGTAGCTAGAGTAGCTGGTTAAAGCGATGTTGCCACCTCGCAACATTGTGCCTTGTTTTAACTATGTATCTGTAATGAAATCGTGGTTGGAGGGAAGAGGGGCAATTAGAACCACTGCACAAGCGCCACAGAGATCGGCTCTTGGTCATGTCAAATAGTCTTCTCAACGTAATGTTTTCATCGTCTCTGAGACGCCAACTGCAGCCACGTTCGAAGTAAGTCTTCATTCTTCTTGATCAAACCGACGACTGACCTCTCTTCTTTTTCCACCCAGACACACGAACAACGCACCTCGTGGGAGTCGGTGTGTGTGATCTAGCCATCGGAGCCTGGTGCGTGCATTAACGGTAATGACCTGTTCGTTTGCTCTTCATGCGCCGAAAACAAGACAGTGGACACGCTTATTGCTCACGCGATGTTCCCACCACATTTTAGCCAACCTGCAAAGGCACCGATGGTTGAACACAACTACCCTTTTTACATATCTAGACCTAATAGACCAAGTTTTGCAACTGTACGTTGAACGAACCTCAGCACTGTAGACTCTACCCTTCAGGACGAGTGTGATGTAGCGGCGACACCAAATGGCGAAGTAGAGTAGCAGCGCCATATTCCATTTCAACTCGTAAAATACGCCCATGGTAAAGTCAAATCCAAGTTGCAAAGAGGTGCTCTCTTTTCCATAACGCTCTTCAAGCAACTCAACTAAATGTGCTAGTGAAAGCAGTAATAAGATTAGTAAAGACAATGATTTGAACAAAGCTGGTCAACTCAATCAATCGATCCACTCAAGGCAAGTCTCGTGACAGCCAGCAGAATGAAGATAATCCTCGTTTGTTCTCAGCGTCCGTTGCGGAGAAATTGCCACCTGGCCATGGTAACAAGGTAGCTTGGACAAGATCCCTTTGCTAGCACAATTCTGGCTGAGTCATTCTGATTGAAATCGCCTCAGCCGTCTTCAGGAGACACTTTCTAAGCCCTTTTGGATATTGATTTGATACAGCGTATTTACGTACGCTGTACGTATCTCATAAACAGTTTGAAATAGATGCTTCCTGATAGCACTATTAAGATTTCTGACGCTTCCCCTTCGTAATGCTCCCAGATAGTGTTCTGCTATCCGCTTGGACAAACGTCGTGTGCCCAATCTATCTTACACCATAGGTGCAAGTAAATTGATATAGTACATATGATTGAGACTGGTATACAGCTGTCCAGGTAGTTGCATCTTTGAAAGAATTCTAGCTGAGCCTACCAGGGGTCAGCGCACGGGTTGCTCTTTACCAACCTTGGATGAAAGCTTTAACTTTGAGGGTGTAAAATAAGGCCCGGGACGATTCACAACCAGTATCGATCTATCCAGCGCTACTTTACAGGTTTGTAAACTGTCACAGATTAGGACAACCTCACTGCCGTACTGTAAATCGAGAACTCGATCAAACGGAAGCAGCTCCACACCAAATGGAGTTTGGTGAATGCAGTTTCCGTTACTTCTTCAGTGGTGAACTTGAAAAGGAGAGATGAGAGCGCGCATCTTTGTTTTGCACAGCCGGAAATACTGAAGAGCTCAGATAGTTTGCCGCGAGTCCTCGACCCGTTTGAAGCA